GGAGGTCTCTCGGTGGCATTCAGCTGGCAAGATGGATTGTTCTAGAAGCTTCCCTCACATATCTAGAACCTTGGCAGGGCTGGTTGGCAGGTCGGTCTCGGAGTGAGCTTTCCAGCATCAAGTCTCAGAGTAGTCGGACTTCTCACCTGAGGATCCCGGGTTCCAAAAGCGAATGTTCCAGAGAACCAGGAGAAAGTTGTGTGGCCTTTTATGACCAAAAGCCTCAGAGGTTCAAGGGGAGAGGCCATAAACCCCACCTCTCACTGGAAGGAGTGTCAAAGACTTTAAGGTCACGTTTTTAAAGTGTTACAATGGCCCAGTGGTCCAAGTTGGCCCTCAGTGCTCCATGACCCACCCCTTCTTCCATACTCCTTCTGCCCTGCCCCCAGCCACTCCCCCACCAGCAAGATAGCCAATGTTCACCTCCTCTCTCAGGAATGATCTGAAACACTCTTTCATCTAAGTGTCAGGATCTTCACGTGTTACTCCCCTGAGGGGCATTTTTACGTGAAAATTGTGGCCCGAGAATGGTGTGGCATACCCAAAGGAATGCATTGCTAATGGTGGAATTTCAGGCATCTACCACAGGACAGTAGGGGATATATTTTTCGGCCAAGGGACTTTCCTGCTGCAGACAGCTGGCTGCTCAATCTGCCCTGAGCCCATACACACCAAACTGTAGCCACTGGGGCTCTCAGAACAGCCTGGACAGCAGCTTCTGCACAGCGGTTCCCCAGCCATCCCTGAGAATCAATACCCAGCCTGCAGAAGGGGAAGAGGTGATGTTTCTGGGCCACGCTGGTGGCCAGCTCAGAGCTACCCAGATGTAGTGCCGCACAGTCTAAGGGGTGAGAATGAAGGCAGTGTGTGCACAGAATTCAAGTTCGTTCGAAAGTTAAAACATTTATGTAGCATTGGCTCCCCCAGGGCGTTACGCCTCCTTTTCCTCATTATTTGGTTTCTCAGCACTAGCCTGTGCATTAGAAACAAAGACCATGTCAAACAAAACAAAACAAACAATTATGGAACAATGACCTGATGTAGAATAATGCTAATTTCAAGGGGGGCAGGGCAGGGGAGAACCCTGCACTCCACCTTCTTCTGCTCTCCCTCTCCCTCCCTCTCTCTCTCTCTCTCTCTCTCTCTCCATATCACAGCAGGACTTGTTCATCTTATTAATTTTCTTGGTTTGGCTTAGCCCGATGTCAAGATGAAATGAGTATGGCCGGTACATTTCAATTTTTCAGATAAATCTCAGAAATTTTCACACAGGTTCCTTTTAACGTACCCCCCAACCCCTTTAAACCAAAGCTCGGAGTGCTTAGTTTCGGGGGAGAGCCATCTGGGAGGTTCTGAGGGGAGGCACCAAAGACATTACGGGTCGCTTTAAATGAGCACTTACTATGTGCAGGCACCGTTCTAAGCGTTTAAATTCTAAGTGTTTTCCGTGCCAGAACGTCAATGACAAAGGAGGATTCTGAGGCGCGGCAAGCCTAAGCAAACAGCCCAAAGGCACAGAGCTGGGAGGTGGCAGAGGGGAGATCTGAACTCAGGTTGCCTGTTGCCAGTGTCTGCTAATCCACTAGACCACATACTGATTCTGGTCCTCTGCCTTTGGCCTGTACTTCTGAGATCAATTCCAAGCAAATTTAGGCCAAGGCTGATCTCAAATAGATGAGGGGGCCTTGTGCTGGCTGGTGAGGAGGAAGTAGCTAAGAAGGCCGGCCTGGTGGGTACAGCCAACGGTGGCTCTGATTTGGAAGCATGAAGGGCTCTGGGCTGCTTGGAAAACAAAGCTAAAGCCCCCTGTTGTAAAATTGAGGAGAAGTGTTTGTCTGGACGGTGAAAACAGTGAGCTCTGCTCGACCCTGCAGCCATAAGGAGAGCTCCCTGGGCCTCCTCTTCTAGACCGAATTCCTCTAGGAACATTCCTCCCAAGCCACACAAAGGCTGCCTGTGTCATTAACCCTGGAAGGGCCAGACCCCTGGTACATGCTCTGTGGTTCAGCAAAGCAGACAGCTTCTGCCTGGACTTCACTTTGCAAAGAGCACCAGTGTTTGGCTGAGAGTTATTTCTGGGTCTTGGTACAAAGGGCATTGCTAGGAGCCAGGGAATCCGGGGTCTGGTCCCGGCTTTGCTATAACTTGCTGCGGGATCTCAGGCATCTCACTTCTCCCTCAGTCTGAATTTCTGTTTCTTCATCTACAGACTTGCATTATTTGACCTCCAAGTCCCCACCAGACCTGAAATCTTATGATTCTCACACGAATCACAAAGGTGAGTCAACAAAACCTCTCAAACCCCAGGATCAATTTAAGCTGGGAGAGAGTAAGAGAGCATGGAGGGAAGACGTCGACGTAAGCTAGACAGTTTGGAAACAGGACAGGGGGACGAAGTTGTAGGGTTCTCAGTCTGTAGAAGCATCATGCCCCGCCCCCTCACCCATGCCTCTCTCTCTGCCTTATGAGATTATGAGTCAAAATCCCTTTAATGGGGACAAATCTCTCATTGCAGAATGATTTCCATCCAGAAAGATTCAAATGCAAATCCTCCTGAGAGAGAAGTACTTCACCGTTAACTTCATACTAAGGTATAAATGACTGACACAAAATGTATTCGTAAGAGCAGCTTTCGAAAGTTGGGAGCCTGGGTCTAGGAGCTTGAAGACAGAGAGGAGAAAGAGCAACCCAGAGAGCAGAGGCTATAAAAGAGTCCAATAGGGCTTCCCTGGTGGCGCAGTGGTTGAGAGCCCGCCTGCCGATGCGGGGGGCACGGGTTCGTGCCCCGGTCCGGGAAGATCCCACATGCCGCGCGGAGCGGCTGGGCCCGTGAGCCATGGCCGCTGAGCCTGCGCGTCCGGAGCCTGTGCTCCGCAACGGGAGAGGCCACAACAGTGAGAGGCCCGCGTACCGCAAAAAAAAAAAAAAAAAAAAGGGTCCAATAGCACGATTAGTCTACAGCCCAACACTGCTTTATACATCACTGTCCCCCTACTTCCCAGCTCTGATGCAGGAGCCATGTTGGGGAGATTTCTGGTTTCAAGAACCAGAGAGGAGAAGCCAGTCAAGCCGAGATGCTGGGGAGGCACCTGGAGGAGCTGGGTAACCAACCAGAAAGATGACCTTGTTTCCTCAAGGGCTGAGGAGGGAGACACGGTGCCCAGCTGGCTTGGAGCCCAAGGTAGAGGGGCGTGGGGAGGGAAGCCAGGAAATGCTGAGCTGGCAGGCGGGCACTGCCCGTGCACGGCCCTGCATACATTTTGTGTCTTCGGGGTCCTCACCTTGTAGGAAAGTAGTAGCTTGTGTTCTAACCAGCTGTCCCCAGGTGTGATGTTTCACGTGATTTACTAAAGGGGAAAAACATTTGTTTCTCAACGCAGACATCCAAGAGAGCCCTGTGTGATGAATGACAGAGGAATCAGCACAGAGGCTGCTCGAGCCCTGGCCCTGATGGCAACCATCATGCTCTGAGCCTCAAGGAGGGAGGGGAACAGGGGCCGGAGCCCAGGCGCCCCCGAGCGGAGACAGAGCCGGGTGGGGAGGAGGGACGGAACCAGTTGTGTCTGTCCCCAAGCTCCAGACTCATCCAGACTCGGCCAGGGGACCTTGGCCAGCAACAGGTCTGAGAAATCCATAGCAGAGCATCCGTCGTGGTGGCCTTAACGGGCAGGAATAATTCATGTTGTTGTGAGGCTTGGTGCGAAGATGCACATCCAGCCCTTAGTACACAGTGAGCGCTCAAAAACTAATAGCACTGCCGCTAATTATCCTCTCCTGCAAGAGTGAGGGTCTTGAGGGTGTCCCCCTCCCACCTTCCTCAGCCCCCGGCCCTCCCCTCGGCTTCTGTTCCTTGCCTTTTGTTCCTCTGAACCCACTTGGAAAGGCTGGCTTTGCTGCATCGGCTGGCTGAGCCCCAGGGTCACGGCGCTCACTTAGCCCTGGGCGATGCTTGGCACGGTGGCGATGGTTTCCAGGTAACACTGCCCTATCGGGAGCACCCCGGCTAGTGGGCGGGGATTTGAAGAGATCTGAAGGCTGAAGTTTGATATGGGCCTTTTGCCAAAGCAGCTGTCAGAACCAGGGCTGTGGACTATACAGATGGGATGGTGAGCGTGGCCAGGCCCCAAGTTCTAGACGCTTCAGCCTCGGCAGCGGCAGCAGCAGTGACAAATACTGGGATAGCCAGCTGGGCAGGGGCCCGGCGTGGCCTGGCCGACGGATTGTGCCACTGGGGATGTAGAAGGGTGGGGGGCAGCCGGGCCCCAGACCCCATGAGGGGCGTTCAGAGTCAGGATTCTGAAGTCATGCGGAAATCACAGGGCCCCTCCGATAGCAGACAGAGGACGAAGCAGGCAGCATGGAAGCCGAATTCCGTTCGGGAGCCCACGTCCAAGGTGGGGGCTTGGTCGGGAAGCCCCATTTCCAAAGACCTGGGCTCAAGGCAGGAGGGACAGAGCTGCTTGAGTCACCGGCATCTTCCCTGTCCCCTGCCTCACCCAGTGTCGATGGCATCACATCACGTCAAGAGCTTCCTAGAGGCCCAGATGGGGATGGACTTCTCTCAGTCCAGCCAGTGGCTAGAACAGCTCCAGGTGCAAAATGTGAACTTAATAACCAGCAACACAGGCGCCACAGAGAATGCACCGAGAAGCATCGTGGTGATGTCACTTTTACCGGCAAAGAATTCCATGGTTTTTATTTTGATCCCCAACACAATGGCCACGAGGGGCTGCAGTGCTCTGGCTTCGGAGCTCCATGGATGAAGCAGATGCCATGAGTTCCCATGGAGCAGAATTCGCCCATCCTGGTTTTCGTGGTTACGCTTGCAGAACGAAAGGATTTTTCCACAGCAATGTCATTTTAACAGCACCGTGGCAAGGAGCAGCAAGAGACCACCTCCAGCCCCCCAAGTGTACGATGTTAACAGTTACCACGGGCACTACTTCTCCCGACTCCCCCCTCCACACACATAAATACACACACACATACAATACACACGCATACCTATATATGCACACACAAATACATGCACACATCCAAACACAAAAAACTCACAGAAATGCATACACGTGTACACACAGAAACACAGACACACAGATTCAGAGTCACCCACATCTTCATCTTGCTGAAATGTAGAGTTGCGGTATGGAGAAAGAAAGCAGACCAAGACCGCCTGTTCTTTAGGAAGTGACTGTGGATGGAGCCTCTTATTGACATTCGGGTAGAGACTCTCCATCCTGTTGTGGTGGCTTCCAGCTCTTTTTGGACTCCGTGGGATAAAGGAAAGAGAGGCGGGCATCACTGGGTCCCGCCTGGCTCCGTATTCCCAGACTGCGAAGGTTCTGGGCTCTTGGCAGAGGTGAGCTCTGCCCAAAAAATATACCTGCCTGTGAGGCCGCCGGCAGAACCACGGATGGTACAATGTTACAAGCCTCAAATCTAAGTATGTCCCTGGGTCCTATTCACCATATGCGTTCTGGCTTGCTTGGTCTTCCATTGACAGGATGGGAAAGGAGTTGTACCACTCAGGGTTCAGTGCAAGGAACAGAAACTGCTCCAGGTATTTTATGCAGAAAGGGATTTAATACAGGAAAGCCGGTGCTTACAAAATCATTGGAAGGTGTATTCGTTCCCTGAAGCCATCATAACAAATGACCACAACCTGGGTGGCTTAAAACAACAGAAGTGGATCCTCTCACTATTCTGGAAGCCAGACGTCTGAAATCAAGGTCAGGTCATGCTCCCTCTGGAGGCTCTAGGGAAGAATCCTTTGCCTCTTTCAGCTTCTGGTGGCTGTCAGCATTCTTTGTAGCTGTATCACTCCCGCCTCTGTCTTCGCATGGCCCTCTTCTCCTCTGTGTTTTCTCCTCCTCTATCTGTTATAAGGACATGTATCATTGGATTTAGGGCCCACCTAGGTAATCCAGGATGATATCATCTCAAGATCTTTAACTTAATTACATCTATAAAGCCTCTTTTGCCAAATCAGGTCCCATGTACAGGTTCTAGGCATTAGGACGTGGACAGAGCTTTTGGGAGGCCACCATCCAACCCATTACAGAAGGGCTGTTGTGAAAACTCTAGGCTGGGTCTCCAGAAATGACTCCCAGAATCCTGCAATCCTGACCTGCCAGGGGAGCCACCATCTTTGTCACATGTGGGAAGGCCAGGAGCCACCAATGGAGCAGCTGTATTTAAAAATCCATTGCTGCTGGGCTTCCCTGGTGGCGCAGTGGTTGAGAGTCCGCCTGCCGATGCAGGGGACACGGGTTCGTGCCCCGGTCCGGGAAGATCCCACATGCCGCGGAGCGGCTGGGCCCGTGAGCCACGGCCCTGAGCCTGCGCATCCGGAGCCTGTGCTCCGCAACGGGAGAGGCCGCAACAGTGAGAGGCCCGCGTACCACAAAAAAAAAAAAAAAAAAAAAATCCACTGCTGGAGCTGTGAGCTTGCAATCAGGAAGCTTCCCCAGCTGCTGCAGCAACTGCCTCTGGACACTGACAAAACTGGTGAGCAGACACTGGAACGCTGCTATGGAAAATTCCGTGTTTTCTTCAGTCCATCAAGGGCCAGGCAGAGCTGACTACACAGAGCAGATGGTTGTGGTGGACTCCTGTTTGTTGTCCATCTAGTATTCGCTCACTTAATTTCCAGGAAAACCTTCTGATTTTCAACTGGGGGGCCACTCTGTATCAGCTGTCAACGGCTGTGTAACAAACTCTTCCCAAACTTCATGACTTCAAACAATAACCATTATTTCTCATGGTTCTGTGAGTGGACTAGGCTCAGCTGGGTGGTTCTTCTGCTCCTTGTGGTGTCTGGAGGCCCAGCTGGTCTGGACCGTCCAAGATGGCTCCACCCACACAGCTGGCAGGTAGTGCTGGGTGCTGGCAGGGAGATCAGCTGGGGATACTGGCCAGGGCTCCAAGATTCTCCCCCACGTGGGCCTCTCCACATGGCTGCTTGGGCTTCCTCACAGCATTCTGTGAGGGTGTGTTCCAAGCAAGCAAAAGCAGAATCCACAGATCTCGTAAGGCCCAGCCTTGAAATTTACACAGTGTCACGTCTACCATATGTTTGGGGTCAAAACAAGACATAAGGCTGGTCTAGATTCAAGGGGAGGGGAAATGGACTCTACCTCTCAATGAGAGGAGTGGCAAAGAAGTTGTGGGCAGCTTTTCATCCACCACTCACCCCTAACTACTCTCAAGCCATGGGGTTCTGGGGGAGCTGACACCCCTGCCTGGAGTGGCATGTGACTCATGCCCAGCCTATCAGAACATCTTTTCCCCAGCATCAGTGATTGGATCAGGCAGGGATGGTTACCTGATGCAAGTCAGGTCAAAATGGTAATCAGGCTCCCTTTGGGGACTTTCATTAGAGCTCTCAGGAAAATATCCTCGTTACTTTCCATGCCAAACTTGAACCAGAGTACATATGAGGAGATGCTGCCACCATCCTGCCATCAGTAGGGAATCTAAGAATGAAGCCAGGGCCAGGAGGAGACAGAGGGAGAAACTGAGTCCCAATGACACGGTTTAATTCCTGAATACGGCAAAGTCTCATCCAACTTGGACAGCTGGTGGGCGTCCCCGAGCTGATCCGCAAGCTGATCCTGCCCCTAGAGTAGCTATACTTACACACACACACACACACACACACACACACACACACACACACACACTACAGGAAATGTGCCAGGGAAATCGGTTGGGGCTCTACCTGTCCTTCCTCATCGCCCACTGCCAGGTGGCATGTTAGAATGAAAGCAAACCTCAGGTGGGATTTGACCAGGTGGACGATGATTATCAGGAAGCAGGTACAAGGACAGCGCTACAACCTGTTCCTGCAGGCTTGGTAACACCCACTCCACCTGCAGGCGCTCCAATATGCACTCTGCACACAGGGTCCTTCTGACGGAGATGCAGTGATACTCTCTTGGTGGGGTCAGCCAAACTTCTGGGGGAATCAGGCACCACAGTCCTCTGGACATGGGAAGACGGTAGGAGGCCAAATGGAACTCCAGATTAGAGCACCGTGCTGAGGGTGTCAGGAGCCCGTAATCTTTTTTTAATTCATTCATTCATTCATTCATTCATTCATTTTTGGCCACGTTGGGTCTTCGTTGCTGCACGCGGTTTTCTCTAGTTGCGGCGAGTGAGGGCTACTCTTCGTTGCGGTGCGCGGGCTTCTCATTGCGGTGGCTTCTCTTGCTGCGGAGCACAGGCTCTAGGCACGCGGGCTTCAGTAGTTGTGGCACGTGGGCTCAGTAGTTGTGGTTCGCGGGCTCTAGAGCACAGGCTCAGTAGTTGTGGTGCACAGGCTTAGTTTCTCCAGACCAGGGCTTGAACCCGTGTCACCTGCATTGGCAGGCAGATTCTTAAGCATTGCGCCACCTGGGAAGTCCCCCCATAATCTTTTTTTATTATTGAAGTATAGCTGATTTACAACGTTGTGTTAGTTTCAGATGTCCAGCTAGGTGACTCAGTTATACGTATACATAGATCCATTCTTTTTCAGATTCTTTTCCATTATAGTTGATTATAAGATACTGAATATAGTTTCCTGTGTTATACAGTAGGACCTTGTTCTTAAACCATGTTTCTTGATATTTCTAAGATACCTGTGCTAATTAAAGGTCTTTCTGGTGTCAATTTATTTCTTCTTCTTTTCTTTTTCTTTTGTGGTACGCGGGCCTCTCACTGTTGTGGCCTCTCCCGTTGCAGAGCACAGGCTCCGGACGCGCAGGCTCAGCGGCCATGGCTCACGGGCTCAGCCGCTCCGCGGCATGTGGGATCTTCCCGGACCGGGGCACGAACCCGTGTCCCCTGCATCGGCAGGCGGACTCTCAACCACTGCGCCACCAGGGAAGCCCTTTTTCTTTTTTTTTTGGTGTAGATTTAGATCTGGAGATGTGAAGTACTTCAGTAGCCACTTCTGGAGTCTGGGTTCCTGATTAGTTTCTTCCAAATGCTAATTAACTGCCCCTAGAGTAGCTATACTTACACACACACACACACACACAACTCTGTACACATAGAGATGTCTTACGGTGACTTATCACACAGATAATATAACACCGTTCTGGTGGAATGAGATGCCACATGCAACCTTTTTATAAGAAGCTCTCCCTTTCCCTGATTTCACCGAGAGGGAAGGCAGATGACTAACAATGAAATCTTTGAACCCATCAGGGGAGGCGCTGTGATGTGAGCGAGACACAGGGAATCTCATTCTGGGGTCCTTCAAAGACCGTGGAGAGGCCCCAGGGTATCAAGGAATCCTCTGAATCATGAGGAAAATGATTTGTGTCATTGCATGTGTGCATTCAGGGTGTGGAGGTGGGGAGAGGGTGGCAACTTCTATCACATTCTAAGAGGGTCTTGACACCCCCAACGTGTTAAGATTCTCCGAACTCGGCACAGTTGGGCAGAGCAGGTGTAAAGAAACATCTTGCCTGGAGATGGCCTGGGCAAGCTTTAGCAATTTCCCAGTAGAGTCAGATCTATCGGTCCAGGACTTGTGCTCTGCAAAGGAGATTTCAAAAGAACCACGCAGGGTCAGAGAGTGGGTTAAACGTCGAGCATTTGAGAAGCAACCATGTTTAAAATTTTCTTTTTAATTTTTCAGAGTTTTCAATTGTAGTAAAAACCACATCACAGAAAACTGACCAAGCATTTTTTAAGGGGACAGTGCAGATTCACATCGTTGTGCAACAGATCTCCAGAACTTTTGCATCTTGCAAAACTGAAACTGTTCTCACCGAACAATAACTCCTCTTCTCCTCCTCCCCAGTGCCTGGCAACCACCCTTCTATTTTCTGTCTCTACGGATTTGACCATTCAAGCTACCTCATACAAGTGGAATCATACAGTCTGTTTTTATGGGATTGGCTTATTTTACTTAGCATACCGTTCTCAGGGTTTATCTACGTAGTGGCACATGGCAGAATTTCCTTCCTTTCTAAGGCTGAATAATATTCCACTGTGTGGACAGACCACATTTTGTTTATCCACTCATCCTTTGTTGGACACTTGGGTTGCATCCACCTCTTGGCTACCATGAATAATGCTGCTATGAACATGGGTGTGAAAAATCTCTCTTCTCTGCTTTCAACTCTTCTGCATAAATACCCAGAAGTGGAATTGCTGGATCAGCCGTTAGTTGTATTTTTAATTTTTGAGAAACCGCCATACTGTTTTGCATAGTGGTAGGAGCAATAGTGTTTTTAGCGGAACCTAGGGTCACTCAGAGAGTAAGGCACAGAAATTCTGGTCTCCTTTAAAATCGTTTTTTTGGGGGATGGGAAGGCAATACGGGGTCCTTATATGGTTAGGAGCAGGCAGACAGAGCGTTTGAACCTTAGCTCCATGACCAAGTGGTTTTGTGACAATCTCTTTAGGTCATTATCTACTCAGCTATAAAATGGGTAACAGCAGAACTCAGCATCATAAGGATTAACTAAGATCACGTACAGGTCACTAAGGATGGAGACCCAGGGTGGATGGGGCTTCTGCTCAGGAAAACACATCAACGTTTTCATGAAGAAGGACCAGAGCAGGCCAGCGCCCAGAATGGAGAAGTTGGAACACAGGGAGATAACTTGCTCTGGGACCAGAGAGATGAGAAATTTGAGTTTTCCACAGGCAGGCGGAGACTCCTCCAGGCTTGGGCAAGAGAGTTGGAGGGAGAAAGGTCTCAAAAGGGAGAGGAAGTAAACTGCAAAACTGCAGCCCTCGGAGGCTTAGGTGACAGAGGCCAGAGATGGATGCCTAATGAGGGCAGTCAGCCAGGATATTGTGCGACATTCACTTTGAAGTTCCTTCTGCACATGGGCCCTTTGAGAGCTCTTTCTCGGTTTGCTATGGACCTTTGGGT